GTTTGTTTCCTTGTGGTTCTTTGCAAATGGCTCTGATTGGGCATCCCCACTGCTGGGCATTCTCTTCTCTGTTACCTCTTCAAGGGCAAAACCCAAACGCCAACCTCACTGTCATTGAGTCAACACTGACTCATAGCTAGCCAATAGGACAGGGTAGAACTGCTCCTTAGGGTTTCTGAGGCTGTAAATCTTTCCAAGAGCAGATAGCCTCATCTCTCCCCCCTGGAGAAGCTAGTGGGTTTGAACTGCTGATCTTGCTGTTACCAGCCCAATGTGTAACCCACTACACCAGGAGGGCTCCTCTCTCAAGGGCCAGACTATTTAGATGTACATCATATTAATATTAGCATTGTTCCTATGGTGTCTACATTTCCAAACACATTGGGTGATATGGCTGGGACGGAAGAGGGGTTTGTTCAGGTTTTTCTCTGAGAGCAGAAGTCCTTAGTTCGGTGCCACAATGGGTTTTGTGAAAACATCTTAGGCTTCAGAACAGGAGTCCCTAGGTGATGCCCATGGTGGATGCAATCAGCGGCTCACTGGAAAATTGGAAATCTGAGTCCACCTGAGGTACCGCAGAAGAAAGACCTGGTGATCTACTTCCCCTAAAAAATGGTCTACTTTCACCAGCCATTAAAAACCCTACAGGGCGCCCGGAGGTGACATTCAACCAGCCGTTTCGGGCCTCGGACTTTCTCTCCTAGAACCATGGCCCAGCTTCTCCGTAACTTGGGGAGAAGGCCCCAGGGATGGTAAACACTGCTGTGATTTATTCGAAGCCTCGATTGGCCACATTTTGGCACTATGGCAGGGTGGAACTGGTTCCGCCAACCCCTGCTGAGATCCCAGCAGCTATTCAGAGCCTGAAAAAAGTAGTCGATAGTGCTAAGACTGGGCGCTTCAAACAGCTCACAATTAAGGAAGCTCTGCTGAATGGTTTGGTGGCCACTGAGGTGTGGATGTGGTTTTACATTGGCGAGATCATAGGCAAACGAGGCATCATTGGCTATGATGTTTGAAGACCAGTCTTTAACATCTGATTATGTTTGGTTTGCTATTTGAGTTTTCTTGGACCATGTGTGATCCGTCTACTCTAATAAAATAAATCATCTAAAATTAAAAAAACAAACAAACAAAAAAAAACCCTACAGGGCATAGTTCTACTTCGGCACACACGGGGTGGTCCTGGGTCAGTGTCCACGCCAGGGCAAGTGGTTTGCATCTGAATTTCATCTGCACCCTGTTTTAGCAGTATGGCCTCAGGCAAGATCATGAACTCTTTTGAACATGGAACATCTCAGCTATCAATGAAGTGGGGGCTAGGAACGAGGGGCGGGAGGCGTCTCAAAGAGCCCACGCTCTTGCAAGTCCATTTTCCCACCAAGGTTTTGTAGGCCCCTCTTGTGTGAAGACTCTTGTGTTTAGTTCTCAAGCTCTACAGATTCTTTGGCAGTTCCCTGCCTCCCCTTGCTGGCTGGTACGCGACGTGGGGATCCCTGGCCATCCAGTCACACCACTGAAATCCAGCTGGACTTCTCTTCCCCAGCAGCAGGCCGGCCAGGAACGCAAGCACTCTGCAGGCCTCCTCCAGCCCCCAGGAGTCAGCGGACCCTGTCACTTTAATTCAGCAGCACCCCACCACTCACCTTAGCAATCACGCTGACTTCTGCCCATGAATTCCTTTCATCCACTTTTGTTTATCACTGTTGAAGCGCTTTTTAATCAAAACAATTAAATATGCTAAATCTTCCTCAATTAGTAATGCATTAAAAATGAAAAGTGCTTGCATGGCAACAGGCAGAAGCAGCCCTTGGCTTGGTGCTAAGTGCTTCGCCATAAAGCACCTCTCTCCCCAGGCACTTTCAACATGGGAGCTAATCAGAGTTCCCCTCACAGTGTCAGAGGACTGTCACTGAAGGGCGCCTCATTTCTACAGATGGAGAGACTGAGGCCCAGTGGTGTCCTGCGTTTGTTAGAATTTATTCAAGGGTTCAGCAGCCGCCCCTTGAATTCCACATGCCCGCGCTCTGATGAGAGCCCTCACCGATGATGTGAGCCCCTTGTCATCAAGGAGCAGACTCGGACTGATGGCGACCCCGTGGGAGTCAGTGTAGAACCGCGCACCATAGGATTTCCAGTGGCTGGTGTTTCAGAATTAGACTGCGAGCACTTTCTTCTGAGTTGCCTCTAGGTAGACTTAAACTTCCAACCTCGCTGTTAACATCCAAGTGTGTTAGCTCTACACCAGGGACCCCAAAGAATGCCTGTGGTGCCAGCAGGTGGATGCTTAACCAACAACATTGCTTCTAAGGAACGCAGAGCTCCTAACACGGCGGTTCTCAACTGGGGGTCGCGACCCCTTTAGGGGTCAAACGACCCTTTCACAGGGGTCGCCCGATTCATAACAGTAGCAAAATGACAGTGATGAAATACCAACAAAATGATGTTATGGTTGGGGGGTCACCACAACATGAGGAACTGTAGTAAAGGGTCACGGCATTAGGAAGGCTGAGAACCACGGTCCTAACAGGACTCCTTCCAAAGAAGGCCTCGGATTCCTTTCTTCAGGCTTTGAAAGGTGTTTTATTATTATTATTATCATCATTTTCCCATTTAAAAATACTGACTGCACTCCCACTCTATGCTGGCAGTGTGCTACCATGCTGGAAGCAGGGTGGTGAACAAGACACAGCCCTTAAACTCACAGAATTCAAAGTTTAATGTGGGAAAATGTTGATGCGCCATGCCCCCTTGGAAAAAATAAATCTAACTCTTATCTTAATTGAATTACTCATCTAGATCGTTTCTCCTTTGTGGTTGCCAGGCTCTCACCATGACTAATGGTAATTGTTTTATAATTGTCATAGAAGCTAGTGGTGTTTCAGAACAGAGCTCCAAGGCTCACACTGAGTAGACCATCTCCTGGAGGCCTGCTCTATCCACAGGTGGACTTGGGCTCTGTAGCACCGATGATACTTTGTACCATCTACTCTTCTAGCCTCATCTTGCCAGGCAGACCGAGGGTTAGAAACCCAGCTCTAGTTAATGATGGGCTGTGCGGCCAGGAAATATTGGCTTTACTGTTCTGGGTGTTCATTCTCATTTGTGAAATGTAGGTTTCTCATCAGGGTCGCAGATGAGGACAGAGACAGAGACAGCTAATGAGGGACTGACTGTCTTGGTGGGGCCCGAAGGAGAGGCGGACTCCCTGGGCTGTTCTTCTTGTGGTCTACCAGGACTCTGGCCTCGTGGGAAACAAAGAAAGCTGGGCAAACAGCACTGTGGCCCATGTGACCATGCAGGCACAGGCAACACCCACTAGTCACTTTGGTGGGAAAGGCAATTGTTTTGATCCCAAAATGCTTCATGGAGAAAATGACTGTCAATTGGAGCGTGAAGCAAGAATAGGCTTTAGAAAGATGAGGATGAACGGAGAGAACTGGACCAGTCATTGTTCTATCATTTGCCAGACACATGGATGTATAGGGGTGAATACCTTAAGGAGGCCCCCTGGAGGCTGGGGAGGACAATGGGGAACTAGCATCCATGCGATGCTGTGGGATAGGCCTGGGGCTATTAACCACAAGGTCTACTGTTCGAGTCTACCAGCTGCTCCTGAGGAGAAAGATGAGCCTGGAAGGTGGGCAGAAGCCGACCTCAGAGTTGTCAGCAGCCACTAAGCTGACCCGGCTCTCACCTGGGACACTGCTTCAGGTCTCCCAGGGTGGCTAGGAGGGGTTGCTTGGCTGTGAAGATGCATCCTGACGTGTCTTCACTTGTGCCCACTGAAGAATGCAACGCCTAGATTAACTTGCGAAAGGAGGGCCACAAAACGCACCGCGTTCTGAAGTTTGGGGTGGTTGTGATGAGAAAATGCCCGAAAAATGAGTGCGTGAAAAAGAGGACCCGGAGCAGAGGCCCATGCAATGGGAAGAGACCCTTTAATTCCCCAGAGGAGTCTGGGAAATGAAGGACATTCTCACCAGACGCCGTGACTGAGAGAAGACCTCAAGATGTCTGGTTGATAATCTGTTTTATTTGGTCTCTATGATCCTGTGACTAGAAAGTGCGACCCACTTTTGTACTTGAAGAAATGAGGGAGCTCAGGCTCTGACTGTTTTTCAAGTGGAATTCTTAGTAGTAGTAGTAGTGGTAGTAGTAGTAGGGTAGTAGTCGTCGTAGTAGTAGTAGGGTCGTCATCGCCGTAGTAGTAGCAGCAGTAGCAGTAGGGTAGTAGTAGTAGTGGTAGTAGGGTAGTAGTAGTGGTGGTGGTGGTGGTGGTGGTAGTACTACTAGTAGTATAGTAGTAGTGGTAGTAGTAGGGCGGTGGTAGTAGTAGTAGGGTAGTAGTAGTGGTGTAGTAGTAATAGGGTAGTAGTAGTAGTAGTATAGTAGTAGTCATAGTAGTGGTAGTAGTAGGGTAGTAGTGGTGGTGTAGTAGTAGTAGTGGTGGTGTAGTAATAGGGTGGTGGTGGTGGTAGTAGTAGTAATAGTAGCAGTAGCAGTAGTAGTAGTGGTGGTGGTGGTAGTACTACTACTAGTAGTATAGTAGTAGTCGTAGTAGTGGTAGTAGTAGGGCGGTAGTAGTAGTAGTCGTAGTAATTTACTCCCTGCCAACACGTCTAATTTCTAAGGGGTCTTTTTACTGACTCTTAAGCTAGGCTGCACTGAATGACTTCTCTCCCTCAATGAAATAACTTCCTTTAATCATAAAAATGAAAGAGGAGGCTGGTGGCTCCACAAAGATTTACAGTCCTAGAAGCCCTCTGGGAGGTGACTACGAGTTGAAACAGATGAGATGAAACAGATGAGATGGCAGTGTGGTGGGTGGTTAATATTCACAATCCCTGGTCCTTCTCCCTTCCCAAAGTGTTGGCCTTGGGGCCATTCAGAACAGCGCTGAAGCGGGGATGCAGACTTGAGGTGTAGATGTCGATCTACTTGTGTCCTATTAGCTGTCTTCTAGTATCTTGGCATTTTGTTTGTTTTATCTGCTTCAGGTCTTACCAGCCATGATGCTGAGAGATGCTTCGGAGGCTCCTTCAGCATTGACAGCAAATTGAAGAAAATCATAGGAGTGGAAGGAGCTCTAACAGGAGAAAGCTGTACACGATTTGGCGGTGGCCACACAGGCAAGTCTGTAGCCATGGTGCTTGTGGAAAGAGTAGCCAGCCTGTCCCTTGGGCCCACAATCAGGGCATCGAGGCTATTTGCTCACAACCCCACCTGATTTCATTTCAATGAATGGTCCTAGTGCACAGATAGGCTCTATCCCAAAGCAAATGCCTTGTCTTGGCTCTACTTTGGATTCATCATGGGCGGAAATCACCTTAGCAGTACCGATTTCTTATGGGGCACTAGACTGAAGCCTCACTAAGACTTGGGGTGAGGGGAGCATGCTGACAGAATCTGCATGGTGGGCTGTTGGAATGAAGGCCCCTCAGGTTACCTCCCAGGGGGAGGAAACAGACCCCTTGGGGTAGGAGAATAATGGGCATCCAAAGTTCATGTTCAAAGAATAATGATTAGAGGAGGATTATGCTAGAATCTTTTGTGGCATTCCCTGAACAAAGTGACCTGATGTTGCACGGACTCATTCATTCATTTGTTCCTTCATGCATTCATCAAACATCTATCACATGTTTGTTTTCAGAGGAGGAGGCAAGAATTAAGAAATAAAAGGCCAGTCGGTGAGGTAGATTTTCAACAGGTATATGTTACTCCTATTGCAGTAGGCTAACGATTCCATGCCTTAAGTCCAATTGCTTCCTCTTTTTGAGAATGGGCTCTGTCAGAAACGCCCTCTCTATAGTTACAAGGTAAGCACCCACTTACCGTTCTCGGTCGCTCACCCTTCTTCCTGGCCATCACCTATCCCTGCTGTACAACTGACCACTTCGTTCTCAGTGCTTCTACTGAGCCCGGCCATATCTAGTTGACAAGAGCTGGCACTGAGCTAACAGCATTTGAGAGATGAATGAATGAATGCATGAATGAATGTCCATCAATTTCCCCATCCTCTCCAGATACCATCTGCCATCTGCAGGACTGGAGTGTCCTCTCAGGGTCGATTTCTAAGTCCCGTTCCCCCTCCTCTGGCTCCCCCTCCTCTGGCTCGTATTGTCTGTTAACCCAGCAAAAGACAAGACCAGGCAGCCACTCTCAGGAGGACACCAAGATTTCGTTCCAAACAGGGGTGCCCGGGGCCCATCCCTTAGGCTTCCTGGAAAGTGAGCTAACACGCATTTACCTTCTCTATGGCAGACCACAACGTGAAGAGCTCTGTTGTGAAAGACGTCATTTCTCGGGTCCGAGGCGGCAGTGCTGGCTCAGGAGGTGGCTTGATACAGAGCGAGAGCAGCGTTACATACCGTTCCTGGGGGAGGTCATTAAAGTATAATCCTATTGTTATCGATTTCGAGGTAAGTCTTTTCGCAGTTGAAGAAACTCTATGTCCATGAGGAATGAAAGTGAAGCAGACCACATCATTTCATATTTCTCATTATGAGCCCATCAAAGTACATGATGGAATGTCATGGGACACTGAACCTGTGGCCTTTCCCCTGCCTGACTGTACTCAGAGTCTGACTTTTGACCTAGGCCAGTGGGGAGCTGAGATCAGAAATGTAATAGCCTGGCCAGTTGGTCAGTGGTATGTTACCCTGGTAGTCTGCGACTTCTTGAGGGTAAGGCCACATCAATAACATTTCACCTTGGTATCTTTTATTTACAGGCTTCCAAGAATTTATGCATGTATATACTTTCAGAATGCATTTTTACATAAATATGAAACTACTTGTATACAGGTAGACATTGCTTAATGCCTATGATACATCCGGTGGCATGGGATGCTGTGTGATTTGGACATTGGGCTGGCAATCATCACGTAATGCCCAGGGCAGCCAGCCCTCACAATAAAACATTATCTGTCCCCAAGTGTGAGTAGTACGCAGGGCGAGACTCTCTGCCTTCCATCCCCTGCTCCCCGGCACTGGCAGTGAGGCTGTATTCGAACTGCAAAGTAAGTGGTTGCTGTGCGTGCTGCCACATTGCTTCTCTCAACCTGCAGGGCAGTCCACTGAAAATGTTGGCAGTTGTGCCTTGGGCTTCTAATCAAACTATCCTTGTGTTTGTGCCCATTCCCACCCTCTTCACCCATTTCCCTCCCTACAGGTATTTACAATTCCAGGGATAGATAACATTTCTACTCTTAAAACATACCCCCACTGTTGCACAAAGGTCAGATGGTTCACCTTGATTTCATTTCTTCTTCAATAAGTAGGGGACCGTTTTCCCACACCCATAATTCCCATAGGAGCTGAAAAATTGCTATCATCATGCTATTAGTGATCGGAGCAGAACCTGTACACTCGAGATCAGGAGTGATAATAAACACTTCACAGGCAAAAAGTGAACTTTGTGTTTGTCTTGAACAAAGCTTCCACGGGGGAAAACAGATTCGTGGTTTGGAGAAGACTGGATATTATCTTTTTGTTTGGGAAAAAAAAGCCTGGACTTTGGAGTGAGAAAGGCATAGATGGACTCAGGCTCCCCGCATGTTTGATGTGTGACTTTGGGTCAACCGACTTCCCTCTCTGAGCCTCGGTTTCCTGATCACTCTGTAATCTGCGCTAAACAGTACGTTTGTGCACCAAGTGCTTGAGAAGAGAAATCACTATCTAGTAGATGCCTGTGGAGGAAACAGGTTCGTAGAAGTTTTATAACCTGCCTAAGAGCTCACTCAGCAAATGGCAAAGCCCAGCGTCATTTGTGTCTGCCTGAGTGTAGCGCCTGCGACCTCTTCACAATCCGTATTGCCCTCTGAGAAGTTTGGACTCCACACACCAAGCCATCAATAGATTTTAGAGCAGAGAAGTGACTGGGCTAGAGTTGTGTATCAAAAAAAGAATGCTCACAGGGATATGAAAAATAAATGGCAGGAGAGAGAGAGAGAGGGAGGGAGACACTATGGGTAAATAGACTTGATGGGGGGTATTTGGATACTCAAACTCAGCGTGGGCCAGTGTCTCACAAGTCCAAGAGTTTAGCAATATTTATATAGAGAGTAGATTGAGTTTGAATGAATGCAAAAGTCCTATTATCTTAGGACATAGGTCTTGTTTCTAATGTTATACTATAGTTTATGTTGTGTTATGTTATATACGATTATAAGTGATGATAGATTGTGCTAGATGATATGTATGTTGCTTCGTGTTGAGTGCTAACGTTTTCATGTAATGTGCTATTTCACCATGGCCTTCATCCATTCTTTGCATGCACTAAGTGATGTTACGATGCTGTACTAGGACAAAGAAGCCTTGGTGGCACAGTGGGCTAAGTGTTGAGCTGCGAATCACAAGGTTGATGGTCCCAACCCATTACCTGCCCTGCAGAGACAGATAAGGTCCTATAAACAGTTGAAGCCTGGGAAATTCTCAGGAGCAGTTCTACTCTGCCCTGCAGGGTCTCTACGACTCAGAATCAACCCGGTGAGGAGTGCAGCTGGTCTAATTTTATGATACTATGCTGTGTGATGCCTGCTATGTTATGTTTTCTCATATTGCTTGCCTTCTCTGAATCTAGTTTCTTTTTTTTTTTTTACATAATTTTATTAGGGGCTCATACGACTCTTATCACAATCCATACACACATCAATTGTGTAAAG